CATCTTCTACCTCCACCGTGGGAGTGACCGAGTGGTGGCCCTCCCTTCCCTTCTCCAGACTGTGGGGAGCAGCCCGGACTAGACTGTTACTGGAATTAAGACTTATTCTATGCATCTGCTCTCCCACAATATGGCGCTGGGAGAGAAGTAAACAGCTTCCGCACAGCTGCCTCCAGTTCAACTAATAAATTGTAGGACTTGCTCCTGATTGGAGAGCAGCATACTCGGCGTGTGGGCAGCCGAGTTAGGATTGGCGGAGGAGGACTATAAAGGAGGAGAGAGACGGCATGCACCAGGAACATCTATGGGGAACATCTAGCTGAAGGAACACCCGTGCAGCCCCCGAGAGACCCGGCCGGCGGTGTGCCGCTCCCCTGCGGAAGTGGGGAATGTGGCCAGGGGGAACTGCCCTTCCACGGAGGTGGAAGGGATAGTAGCCAACCCGGGAAGAACCAGCAGCAAACCCGGGGAGGGCCGAGCAGACGAAAGAACAGCGCAGGGTCCTGTGTTGCTCCTCCACGAAGAGGGGGAGCGACATAATGGTGCCGTGACTCGGATATGAAGCCTAGGCAGGGCTTAGTGTCGTTCCTCCACGAAGAGGGGGAGCGACACAGACCCTGCCTTGCTCCCTGCTCCTCTCAAGAGAAACCGCTTTAAAAGGGGGGGGGGCACTCTGGTGTAGCAGGTAAAGCCGCTGCCTCCAGTGCCGGCATCCCATATGGGTGCCAGTTCAAGTCCTGGCTGCTCCACTTGAGATCCAGATCTCTGCTATGGCTGGAAAAGCAGTGGAAGATGGCCCAAGTCCTTGGGCCCCTGCACCCGTGTGGGAGACCTGGAAGAAGATCCTGGCTCCTGGCTTCAGATCAGCGTAGCTGCAGCCTTGTGGCAAATTGGGGAGTGAACCAATAGATGGAAGACTCTCTCTTTCTCTCTCTCTCTCTGCCTCTCCATCTCTCTGTGTGTGTAACTCTGACTTTCAAATAAATAAATAAATCTTTTTTTTTTTTTAAGAGACAAACTGCAGGGGCTGGCAAAGTGGCTCAGTGTGTTAACGCCCTGGCCTGAAGCACCGGCATCCCTTATGGGTGCCCGTTCGAGACCCGGCTGCTCCACTTCCGATCCAGCTCTCTGCTATGGCCTGGGAAAGCAGTAGAAGATGGCCCAAGTCTTTGGGCCCCTGCACCCACATGGGAGACCTGTAAGAAGCTCCTGGCTCCTGGCTTGGGTTCAGCGCAGCTCCGCTGTTGTGGCCAAATGGGGAGTGAACCATTGGATGGAAGACCTCTCTCTCTCTCTCTCTCTCTCTCTCTCTCTCTTTCTCTCTCTCTCTGCCTCTCCTCTCTCTGTGTAACTCTGACTTTCAAATAAATAAATAAATCTTTAAAAAGGAAAGAGAGAGAGAGAGAGAAACCGCAGCTCCCCCTTAGCCTGGGTTCTCCCTGAGCTGACGTCTCCTGCCCCTCTCCCTTCACAGCCCAGGCCTCCTGTCTCGTCCTCATTTCTGTTCTGGTTCCTGGAAGGCCCTTCTGTGTCCCATCCCTGCCTCTCCATGGCCTGTTTCAAATGTCTCCTCTTAGGGCGGGCGTTGGGGGCAGCAATGAAGACATGCTTATTCGGCAGCCCCTCTTGGAGCTCCTGGGTGCCAGTCCTAGCTCTACTCCCAGCGCCAGCTTCCCGTGAGGGGAGGCAGCAGGTGGTGGCCTGAGTGCTGGGGCTCCTGCCACCTAAGCGGGAGATCCACATTGACTTCCAGGCTTCTGGTTTTGGCCTGGTCCAGCCCTGGCTATCAAAGGCATTGGAGGAGTGAGCCTCAGGACAGGAGATCCTTGCCTTTGGCTCTCTCTGCCTTTCAAATAAAAATAAAGTTGACAATTCAGTGTTAAAAAAAGGAAACTACTGGGGGCCAGCGCTGTGGCGTAGTGGGTGAAGCCACTGCCTGCAGTGCTGGCATCCCATATGGGCGCCAGTTCTAGTCCTCGCTGATCCAGCTCTCTGCTGTGGCCTGGGAAAGCAGTAGAAGATGGCCCAAGTGCCTGGGCCCTTGCACCCGCATGGGAGACCTGGAAGAAGCTCCTGGTTCCTGGCTTTGGATCGGCACAACTCCAGCTGTTGTGGTAATTTGGGGAGTGAAGCACAGATGGAAGACCTCTCTCTCTCCCTCTCTCTCTTGCTCTCGCTCTCTGTCTGCCTCTCTGTAACTCTGCCCCTCAAATAAACAAATAAAAGAAAAAAAGACATCCTCGGGCACTTGGCACAGCAGGTCAGCCTGCTGTTCGGGATGCTGTATCCTGTATTGGAAGGCTGGTCAAGGCCTCACCTCTCTGCTCCAAGCCAGCTCCCTGCTAATGAACCTGCACTGGAGGATGGCCCAAGGGCTTGGGCCCCTGTACCCACGTAGGAGACCTGGAAGAAGCTCCTGGGTTTTGGTTTCAGCCTGTCCCAGTCCTGGCCATTGTGGCCATCTGGGAAGTGACTGAGTGGTTGCAGGATCTGTCACCCTCTCTCACTGTAACTCTGACTTTCAAGTAAATAAATAAATTATTAAAAAAAAAACCAGGTAAGCAGTTTTAAAAATGCCTCCTTTTCTGCAAGATCCTTTCTTATTCTTTCTTTTTGCCGAGAGAGAGAGAGAGAAGAGAAGAGACCACAACGGCTGGAGCTGTGCCATCCAAAGCCAAGAGCCAGGAGCTTCTTCCGGGTCTCCCACATGGGTGCAGGGGCCCAGTGCTTGGGCCATCTGCTGCTGCTTTCCCAGGCCATGGCAGAGAGCTGGATTGGAAGTGGAGCAGCCAGGACTTGACGGGTGCCTCTATGGGTTGCCAGCACAGCAGGCAGCAGTTTACCCTCTATGCCGCAACACTGTCCCCACCCCATCTTTTTGAAGCGGTTTCTCTTGAGAGGAGCAGGGAGCCCCGGCAGGGTCTGGAGAAGGAAAGGGAGGGCCACCACTCGGTCACTCCCACGGTGGAGGTGGCAGGTGCACCCCGGGCCCTTCGGTGGGGTCGGCACGGAGTTGGTGGCGATGCCTTGCTGAGCTGCGGAGCCTGCGGGCAGATTATCCCACAGGGGAGTGCCCTGGCTCGGGGAGAGAGGGAGAGGCTTCTCACTAGCAAGGAGCAAACTGTTCCTGATCCAGAAGAGGAGGCTGCAGAGAGGAGAAACAACTTACGGCGTGCGAATAACTTTGGCATAAAATAAGTGCAAATTGAAAAAAGAAAGAAGGAAACTAAGGAAGAGGAGGAAGGGAGAGGGGGAGGAGGAGGAGGGCGGGGAGGGCACTGGCCCAAGAGCTGGAGCCCCTGGCCTGGCCCCCTGCGGCCTGTGGCTCTGTGGGGTGCTGCGGAGCGCCCCCTCCCCGGAGGAGGAGCCGATGTGTTCTAGTTCCTCTTGCACAAGGCTAAGGGGAGACCGTCCAGGGCTTAGCAAGGTCACCCACACGCCGGCCCTGCTGGTGCCAGGGGCATGTGATCCGGTGTCGTGAGTAAGCACCAGGTCCGGACCCGTCCTGATTGGCCCTCGGCTGCTCCCTGGCCTCGGGCACGCTTCTTCCTTCTCACAGGCTCTTTCTGATGAGGAAGAACAGTGTGGGGCCCAACAGAGCCCGTGAAGGCTTTGGCCTTGAACCTGACATGGAGGCCAACCAATGGTCACCGACTGGTGCCAAAGCTGCCCTCCTTGGATCTCCCGCACCGTTTCTCTGTCCCGCCTCCACGGTCACGTGCACAGCAGGCCCGCAGCACAGGCAGACTGTCAGTGTCGGGGCAGCCCTCAAGGCTCGGATGCATAAATCCCCCAGCTCCCTCCCCTTCAGCTGGGAGCAGCTGCACTGGCTCCCAGAAGTCCCCTGGGCACACGCGGCTCTGTACTTCCTTTATACAATGCCCGCCATCCTCTCTCACTCCCTACTCTCCCGCTAGCATTTCCTAGAGTCACCTCCCAAAACAAACTCCTTGCCCTGGCCCACTTGTCTGAACACCTGCCAAGCACCCACGGTGTACCCATCCCCACGCTCACAGAGTGACCTTGGACGCCCCCGTCATGCGCTCTGGCTTTCTGTGGTCCAGCTGAGGGTCGCGTATTCATCTTGGGGCTATTGCTTGGGTCTGGACCTGGGACGTCTCTTTCTCAACCTGAAACCACTCTCCTAACAGCTGTGACAAATCGTGGGCAGTTGCTCCGGACACTTGGGCGGTAGATAGAACTCCTTGCTAACGCACCTGGGAAAGCAGTGGAAGCTGACTTAAGTGCTCGGGCCCCTGCGTGCACATGGGAGACCCGGAGGAAGCTCCTGGGTACTGGCTTCAGTCTGGCTCAGCCCTGGCTGTTGAGGCCATTTGGGGAACCAGCAGGTAGAAGATCTCTGTCTCTCTCCATCTCCCTCTCTTTCTGTAACTCTGCCTTTCAAGTGAATAAAATAAATCTTTTTAAAAAAGATTTTATTTATTTATTTGAGAGAGAGTTACAGAGAGGGGGAGAGACAGAGAGAGGTCTTCCATCCACTGGTTCTCTCCCCAAATGGCTGCAACAGCTGGAGCTGTGCTGATCCGAAGCCAGGAGTTGGGAGTTTCTTCCGGGTCTCCCATGCGAGTACAGGGGCCCAAGGACTTGGACCATCCTCCACTGCTTTCCCAGGCCATCAGCAGGGAGCTGGATTGGAAGAGGAGCAGCTGGGACTCGAACTGGCGTCCATATGGGATGCCAGCACTGCAGGCAGAGGATTGACATATTGTGCCACAGCACTGGCCCCTAAATTAAATCTTAAACAAAAGACAAGGAGGATTTGGAGCCTGTGCAGTCCGAGCTCAGGGCCAATGCCTTGGGCACCTGGGAAGGAGTAAGCCCTGCCAGTCACCCCAGGTCGGGACTTGAGATGCAACAAGCAAGGCAAGTTTCGGCAGAGATAGGTGTGGGAGGGGCTGCCGGCTGGGCAAAGGGCAGGCCGCCTGGAAGGAGCCACAGAGCGGGGCTCGACCCAGAGCGGTGAGCCGGAGCCTGCCCCCCACACCACGGACAGCATGAGTGGGCACGTGGGGGACCTGAGCCCATCCCAGGAGAGGGTGCTCAGCCAGGTGAGTGCGGGGAGAGAGAGCCCTAGAGTAGCCACAGTTTCTCCTTCTGTCCTAGAGGGGCCAGGTCCTCAGGCCCCTGGGTTCCTCTGAGCTCTGCAGATCCCACCTCTTTGGCAATCCTGAGGGTCCCGGTGACCGGGGCAGGGGGGCTCCCCCGGCTCTGGCCAACACAGCCCAACACAGATGCAAGCCACGTGTGTCACTGCCAGTTTTCCAGCGGCCATATTACAAATAGAAGGAAACACATGGGATTCGTTTTTAATCAGCTGAGCCTGTTCTACTTAACCCACTCTGGCCGAATGGTTAGCACTTCCCTCTGTAATCCACAGAAAGTGGCGATGCAGATTCTTCTTTCTTTTTTTTTTTTTTTTTTAAACTGGCAGAGTGGACAGTGAGAGAGAGAGAGAGAGAGAGAGAGAGAGAGAGAGAGAGAGAGAGAGAGAGAGAGAAAGGTCTTCCTTTTACCGATGGTTCACTCTCCAATGGCCGCCACAGCCGGTGCACCGCGCTGATCCGATGGCAGGAGCCAGGTGCTTCTCCTGGTCTCCCATGGGGTGCAGGGCCCAAGCACTTGGGCCATCCTCCACTGCCCTCCCGGGCCACAGCAGAGAGCTGGCCTGGAAGAGGGGCAACCGGGACAGAATCCGGTGCCCCGACCGGGACTAGAACCCGGTGTGCCGGCGCCGCTAGGCGGAGGATTAGCCTAGTGAGCCACGGCGCCAGCCCAGAGTCTTCTTTCTTTGGGATCTTGTGAGTGTTTCCTGCTCCACACCAGCTCTCGCCGTGGACTGGCTGTGTTGTAAGCGTCCGTGGCTCCCACCTCCGACGGCCCAGGGGAGCGAGGGCCACGGTCCCAACATGGGGCGGTCATGACCTCAGCCTTGTCCTGGGGGATGCAGGAGCCAGGTGCATTTTTGTCTCTGGCCTGGGAGGAATTCCTTAGGGATCTTTAGGATCTTCCCGGCAAGGACCGCCCACCCCCCCCCCAACCCCGGGCAGGCTCCCAGCCTTCCCTGAGCGTGGGGTGGGGGATTGCGGCCCCCAGGGTTCTGTGCTGAGTCTGCCCACCTGGGTTAGGGACCGAGGTCCAGCGCTGCTCAGGTTTCCTGGGCTTTCGGGGTGAGGGGCTCATTTGGAGGAGACTGAGAGCCAGGGAGAAGGAGGGTGACCCGGGCCAGGACAGCCAGGGCAGCTGGCTCCGTGCTGTGCCCTTTGTCTGGCAAGACTCTGTGGATCAGTGCTGCAGGCTGGCTTGAGTCCCCGACAGCACAGTCAATGACACTCCGCCAGGAATGGCACCTGCGGCATGGGTACAGGGCCAGCTGAGCGGCCCTGGCCAACCCCAGGGATCTGTCTGTTGAGGACCCTCTCCCAGGTGGGGCCAAACTGCCCCTCACTGGGGCCTGGGCTCTAAGCCAGATTTGTGAATTGTCTGCAGGTTCTGCCGTTTCCTGGCTGTGTGGCGCTGGGCCTGTTGCTCAACCTCTCTGAGCCACAGGCTATCAGAAGCTCACCCTGTCACCTGATCGGACTTGGAGGCTCCCTGAGGGCAAAGATCTTGACCTTCCTCCTCCATAAGGCCCTTCCTATCCCCCCGCCCCCAGCCCTAGGCTCATCACCTCCACCATCTCCACTCCCGTCTTCAGTCCTCTTCTAAGCTTTGGTGCAGTGGGTTTGTCACCAGCCATGTGATACAGCAAAGGCACTGTCACAACTTGACTCAGGTCCCCTGCACTCACACATCCCCCTGGCTGAGGACAAGGTGAAGCCCGCAGGCCTGAGGGTGGCCGGCCAGCCCCCCGAAGCCATCAGGGGCACTGCACAGCCCCCCTGACCCGGGTCTCTCTCTGCTCTGCCTCCAGTTCCGAGAGAACATCCGGGATGTGCTGCCTACCCTGCCCAACCCTGACGATGCGTTTCTCCTGCGCTGGCTCCGAGGTGAAGCCCCAGCTGGCAGTGGGCTGAGGGTCAAGGGCACCAAAGGGGAGCACCGTGGGTCCCTGTCGCTGGCTAGGGAAGTGCAGTCGGTCCTTGAAATCTGCTGGGATTGGGTCTGGGACCTACACCCCCCGCCCCGTGGACACAGAACTCCACAGATGCGCAAGCACCTGCCATAAAATGCTGTGGTGTTTTTATATAACCTGCACACAGCCTGGATAGTTTAAATCAGACGACGTAGCGTCTGTAATACAAGGCAAATGCTGCGGGAATAATGGTTATGTTGCACTGCCTAGGAAAAAGTGACCCCAAAAGTCTGTGAATGTTAGGCACACGCAGAATACTTTAAAAATATTTTCTATCTGGGATTGGTTGAATCCACATTTGCTGGTTCACTTTCCCAGATGGCTGAAAGGGCCTGGATTGGGCCAGGCTGAAGTCAGGGACCAGGAGCCAGGCGCTCCATCTGGGTCTCCCACGTGGGTACAGGGTCCCCTGCTGCTTTCCCAGGCCATAGCAGGGAGCTGGATCGGAAGTGGAGCAGTCAGGATCGAATCAGCAACATGGGATGCCGGCACTGCAGGCGGCGGCTTTGCCTGCTACACCACAAGGCTGGGCCCAGAATGCAATCTTGATAAGTGTTTATCAGAGTCAACAATTTACAACAACCTGTGCCCTCATCAGCTCCAGTCATAGGCCAGGGTGTGGCTGCAAGAGCCAGAGGGCAGAATCTTAGGCCAGAAGATTGCTAGTGACACCTTGTTCCTATAAAGATTTTTATTTATTTATTTACTTGAGAGGCAGAGTTACAGACAGAGAGAGGGAGAGACAGAGAGAAAGGTCTTCCATCTGCTGGTTCCCTCACCAAATGGCCGTGATGACTGATCAGAAGCCAGGAGCCAGGAGCTTCTTCTGGGTCTCCCATGCGGGTGCAGAGACCCAAGCACTTGGGCCATCTTCTACTGCTTTCCCAGGCCACAGCAGAGAGCTGGATCGGAAGTGGAGCAGCTGGGACTTGAACCGGTGCCCATAAGGAATGCTGGTGCTGCAGGCGGAGGGTTAGCCCACTATGCCATTGTGCTGGCTAGACACCTTGTTCTTAACTGGGGCTTGTTTGCCAAGTGTGAAGTTCACTATTTGTGTTCCAGGGGCCTAGCGAGTCCTAACACAACTGTGTGTAGAAAGAAAGAAAACCCTTGAGGGACTGTGTGGAAAAAGTCTTGGGAGGGACCGGTGCTGTGGCATAGCGGATAAAGCTGCTGCCTGCAGTGCCGGCATCCTATATGGGCACCGGGTCTAGTCCCAGCTGCTCCACTTCTGATCCGGCTCTCTGCTATGGCCTGGGAAAGCAGTAGAAGATGGCCAAAGTCCTTGGGTCCCTGCACCCGCATGGGAGACCTGGAAGAAGAAGCTCCTGGCTCCTGGCTTCAGATTGGTGCAGCTCCGGCCGTTTTGGCCATTTGGGGAGTGAACCAGTGGATGGAAGACCTCTCTGTCTCTGCCTCTGCCTCTCTAATTCTGCTTTTCAAATAAATAAACAAGTAAATCTTTGAGAGAGAGAGAGAGAGAGAGAGAGAGAGAGAGAATAAGAAAGTAAAAGTCGACCGGCGCCACAGCTCACTAGGCTAATCCTCCACCTGCGGTGCTGGTACCCCGGGTTCTAGTCCCGGTTGGGGCGCTGGATTCTGTCCCGGTTGCCCCTCTTCCAGGCCAGCTCTCTGCTGTGGCCCGGGAGTGCAGTGGAGGATGGCCCAAGTACTTGGGCCCTGCACCCCATGGGAGACCAGGAGAAGCACCTGGCTCCTGGCTTTGGATCGGCGAAGCGTGCCGGCTGTAGCAGCCATTTGGAGTGTGAACCAATGGAAGGAAGACCTTTCTCTCTGTTTCTCTCTCACTATCTAAATCTCTACCTGTCAAATAAGAAAAACAAAACAAAACAAAAAGACAACAGCACCAACTCGTTTCCATGAGGAACCAGTCGGTATGAATCTACAGGTATTGGGGCAAGGCGCTGTGTCATTGAACTTCCCTGGGCGCAGTACAGAGGTGCTGGCTCCCCACAACAGAGTCAGGGTTGGAGAGAGCGTAGGAGGGCTGAGAACAGGACTGGGGCTGTGAATCTGCCTTCAGCCTGCGGATGAGGCCCGGTGATCTACCCCATGTGACTGGCGGTGAGCGGGGCGGCCCATGTTAACCACACCTCAGCCCCCCACCTCTCCCACAAGTGATGTCATCCCAGGAGGGGGTTTCCGGGATGTACGTGGCCCTGGCTGCTCCACTTCCGCTCCAGCTCCCCTCTAACAGCGGGGAAGCGCAGCCGTCTTACTTCCCAGGGTGACTTCACCTTCTGCACACGCGTTACCTTTACCCCTGGGGGGCTGCTCTGCCTCTTCGGGGCCCTAACGCCTAAGGACGGCTTTCACGCCACCTCTCCCAACTGCCTCTGTTTCCCTCCTGTCGGGTCTCTGTACCACGGGCAGGCTCTGACATGGCCGCTTCCCACGAGTTAGGACAGTGCCCACAAGAGCTGTGTCCTTCGAACTGGGGTCAGGCATGGCAATCACCGTATGCCATCTCTCCATTTGTTGGGGTTCCCCCATGACGCTGCCCCTGCCCCCTTTAATCTGATTTAGGTCTTGCTGTGTAATGGGGGCTGATGGGGCTGTTTGGTCCCTGCTGTCCCCTGGTTAGCTTTTCAGCAGGTTGAGCAGGGCAGAAGTGCCCGATACCTTTCTCTCTCCCTTGGCCAGCCATGGTGGTGCTGCGGCAAAGACTGGTGTGCTAGGACACCCCTGGGGGGTTCACCCTGGGTGTCAGGACGAGCAGGCAGAGGAGGGTTGTGAACTAGGCTGGCAGCGTGCTGGGGACCGGGTGGCCAGCTCCCTGCCCCGGTGTTGACAAGGGCAGACACCCAAGTTAAGGAGGAGGAAGAGCAGACATCCCCAGTACTGTGTCATCACCCACACAGCACGCAGGACAGGCTATGTGGTTCATAGCGGGGTCCATAGCGCCATGAAAACAGCAATGAACTCTGGCATGCACAGTAACAGACTTCTGTGTAAACACAACACAAGCCTGGCGTGGTTTTATAGCCCAATGTTGCGTTATATAATGTACTTTGTACAATCTAGATGAGCTTCAACAACTCTTATCTCCCTAAGTTGAAAGTCTCCTTGGAGAGTTTCAGGGATCCAACTGAAAAGCCTCAAGGTCAAAGTCTCAGTTTGGAGTTTTTTTTGTTTTGTTTTGTTTTTTTTAATGATATTTATTTATTTAAGAGGCAGAGTTGCAGACTGGTTCACTCCCTAGATAGCCACACCAGCCGGAGCTGAGTTGATCCGAACCAGGAGCTTCCTCCAGGTCTCCCACGTGGGTGCAGGGGCCCAAGGACTTGGGCCATCTTCTACTGCTTTCCCAGGCCACAGCAGAGAGCTGGATCAGAAGTGGAGCAGCCGCGTCTCAAACCGGCACCCATATGGGATGCTGGCGCTTCAGGCCAGGGTGTTAACCCGCTGCACCACAGCGCCGGCCCCATACATACTGTATATTGATTGGCTTGGAACTCATGGAGATGGAGGGGTCTCCTGGGGACAGCCTGACTCTCCCTAGGGGCTCAGCCCCCTCCTCTGCCAGCTCTGGGTGAAAGATTGCAACCACCCTGGAGGTGGGATTTAAAGCCGCAAGGCCACACATGCAGCCCAAGAAGCTATCAGTGGGGGACATGTGCCGGTCTGGCGACAGAGCTCTCCAGCCACAGCCGGCAGCCTGCTCCTGACGACATCCTGTCTGCGTCTGAGAGGCCCACAGACCCCCAGCCCCAGTGGGCAGCCTCCGAGTCGCCGGAGGTTTAAACCATTTGGCCCAAGTAAAGCCACAATCCGTTTAACCTGAGTGTTTTAAACAAAGCTGCGAGCCAGATCCACTCAGTGATAAGGGCATCACTTAAACATTTTAAACCAGGCAGATAACGTCAGCTTTTTATCCAGGACGCCATAAAGCCAGCCACCGATGTTAGCTTTGGAAAGTCTCAGGTCTCTCTCTGAGGCAATCAGACCCAACAAGGGCAATCAGGAAGCATGGGAAGCGTTCCCAAGATGCGTCAGGTTTTTGTTACCCGGGTCAGTTACGAAAACACAGAGGAACCTTGATTACAAAGCCTCAGCGAGTGACATCAGCATAGGATTTTATAAATACATCACGGAACATAAAGCTACGGAAACAGGCAATGTTGATTTTTTTTTTTTGAACTTTTAAGACAGATGAGTTTAAAAAAAAAAAAAAAGATATAGGGGGCCAGCACTGTGGTGTAGTGGGTAAAGCCACCACTTGCAGTGCCGGCATCCCATATGGGCGCCGATTCTAGTCCCGGCTGCTCCTCTCCCCATCCAGCTCTCTGCTGTGGCCTGGGAAAACAGCAGAAGATGGCCCAAGTGCTTGGGCCCTGCACCCGCATGGGAGACCTGGAAGAAGCTCCTGGCTCCTGGCTTCAGATCAGCGCAGCTCTGGCCGTTGTGGCCATCTGGGGAGTGAACCAGTGGAAGGAAGACCTCTCTCTCTCTCTCTCTCTCTCTCTCTCTCTCTCCTCTCTCTGTGTGTAACTCTGACTTTCAAATAAATAAATAAATATTTAAAAAATAAGATATAGGAGTTAACTTTTGAAGCACTCCTCTAAAAACATCTAAATTAAGAGGAAAATGTCTTTTAAAGGAACATGCAATAATTTAGTCCGTAGTTACTTTAAAACAGGTTTTGAAGCTTGAGATCTAAGTTCCCTTCTCCAGGTGCTGGGAAACCCTAGAAAACTCGAGAAAATCTTTAGCCCAGAGGACAAAACCCAGCTCTGGACATTTAACTGCAGACATTTGTAGAGAAGCCACCATGTGGGTGACAGGGTACACAGCAGACAGGGTCACAAACACTGACTCAGCGGTTTCTTTCTTTTTTTTAAAAGATAATTTTATGTATTTGAAAGACAGAGTTACAGAAAGAGGTAGACAGAGAGGTCTTCCACCCGCTGGTTCACTCCCCAGTTGGCCACAACTGCCAGAGCTGTGCCGATCCAAAGCCAGGAGCTTCTTCCAGGTCTCCCATGTTAGTGTAGCGTCCCAAGGACCTGGGCCATCTTCTACTGCTTTCCCAGGCCATAGCAGAGAGCTGGATCGGAAGTGGAGCAGCCGGGACTCGAACCAGCGCCCATATGGGATGCCGGTGCTTCAGGCAGGGCGTTAACCCGCTGTGCCACAGCGCCGGCCCCCAGACTCAGCGGTTTCTAAAGCACAGGCGGGTTTCACAGACTCTTGTCCCCAGTAGGGCAGTGCTGATCGGAGGGCTCTGTAGCGTAACAGGGCAGATATTGACAACCAGAGAGCAGGAGATTCTCATGTTGGTGGCCAGAGAGAGTTTTAAATCGACTAAGGGAGGGGACCAGTGCGGTGGCATCCTCATGGGCTCCCGCGCAGGTGCAGGAACCCAAGGACTTGGGTCATCCTCTGCTGCTTTGCCGGGTGTATTAGTAGGAAGCTGGATTGGAGTGGAGGAGCCAGGACTTGAACCCGGCACCCATCTGGGATGCCTGTGTTGCATACAGTGGCTTAACCCGCTACGCCACGATGGTGGACACCCCCCGCCCCCCCGCCAAGTCTTTGTTAGATTACTGCTTTTTATAATGTAAGCAGAGGCGGTCGGGGGAATGAGACATGCGGTGTCACTTAGTAGGGAACGAGTGGAGATCTCGGGGCTGATGGAGAGCAGGTGTTGGGGCCAGGTTGCGGGGTAGATGAGACGTCCCCTCCTCCCTCTGAGAGCTGCAGGGGGAGCTGCAGCTTCAGAAAGGGCTCCTGAGGCTAGCACGGCCGTGAGCTGCCGATCGGAACAACCCTCAGCCCTGTGGTCCCTCCGGGTTTGGAGGACCCACTCTCTGGACGGCCTTTCTGGAACAGCAGGCCAGGGGCTCTGAGCCCCTGACGGTGGCTGCACAGCCTCTCCTCCTGGTGGAGACTTCCTGCCACCGCCAAGCCCCCACCCCCACCCCTGAGCTCGGGGAGCCAGCTGGCCTGGGCCCAAGTCTTCCTGGGACTTGGGGTGCCTGCTGTGGCTCCCTGTGTTGAGAACAGCAGCAGGCAAAGCTGGGCTGGGGGGGGTGGGGTGGGGGCGGAGTCGAGCTTCTGGAACCTTCAGCACTGCCCGTGGTGCCCTTGCAGCTCGGAGCTTCGACCTGCAGAAATCCGAGGACATGCTGCGGAAGGTGAGGACGGCATCCCGCCCCCGGCCTGGCCCGGCCTCGTCTCCTATCCCACAACGAGGCTCAGGTCCATTCACTCACAGAACATGAACCTGGCCCTGTGCTAGACACTGGGAGAGAGAGCTGACAAGGAGAAAAATGAAACCAGAGAGACAAAGAAACAAGGCAGTTCCTGAGAGTGGGGAGGGTGGAGAGCTCAATGAAACAGGGAAGGAAGGGAGAGAGAGAGAGACTGGGGATATTCACCTGGGGTGTAAATGCCCCCAAAAGAGCAGAGGCAGCGGGTGCAGGCTGTGCAAAGGCCCTGGGGTAGCAATGGACTGGGGTGCTCCGTGAGCACACGGAGGCCGTGTTGCAGTACAGAAAGGGAGAGACTGGGCTGCATGGGTGGCCCAGCCCCATCAGCTGGGCCCTGTGGGCCTCTGCAGGGAGTCTAGGTTTCTGTCTAAGGGCAACTGGAAGCCGAGGAGTGGACGTGTGGGGATGCAGTGCAGGGAGCAGCAGGGCACCGGCCTCACCTGGCCCTGTCTTAGGGCCTCGTCCATCTTAGGCCCGTGTCCCCTTCCCTCCCATCCTGTCCCCATCCCCCCTTGGAAGCGGTGGAGCCCCCAGGGGGCTGCAGGCAGCAGGACCTGGCCTGGCGTCCCCATGTCTCCGCAGCACATGGAGTTCCGGAAGCAACAGGACCTGGACCACATCCTCGAGTGGCAGCCGCCCCAGGTGAGCCTCGCTCACGCCCGCCCTGGCCGCCCCGGCTCCCCCGGGGGCCCGAGGCGCTGAGCCCATGTCGCCTGCGTGCAGGTGGTCCAGCTCTACACAGCCAGCAGCATCTGCGGCCATGACAGCGAGGGCAGCCCCGTGTGGCTGCACATCATCAGAGACTTCGACCTCAAGGGCCTGCTCCTGTCCGTCTCCAAGCAGCAACTGCTCAGAGACAGGTTTCGCAGCTGCGAGCTGCTGCTGCGGGACTGTGAGGAGCAGAGTCGGAAGGTGGGGAGCCAGGGGGCCCTGGCAGCCGCAGCCTGCACCTCCCAGCCCTCCAGGCTGCCCTGCACCCCTCAACCACCTGATCCCTGCCCCTAGAACCCACCTTCCTGAGCTCCGAGGTCCGAGGGCTCAGAGAATCCAGAGACTGAGCCAGGGACACACAGTACTGGTTCCACTGGGCCACGTTCTCCCTGTGGCCTCCTTACTGGGGACGGGATATCACATGTGGACAGTGGTGGGGAGGGCAGGGGCAGGCCTGGTCACAGCACCAGGAGGGGGCCCCCCTTCCCTGCACTGGGTACTTGGTGTGAAATCTCTCTGCCAGGCAGAGCCAAGGTGAGCCGGGCTCAGGGCCAGCGCCATCTTTGGTATGGGGGAGGGGGGCCGCTGTCCCTCCCAGGGTCTCACTCTCCCCGTCTGTCCCTTGCAGCTGGGGAAGAAGGTGGAGCAAGTTACAACCGTGTTTGATATGGAGGGGCTGGGGCTGAAGCACCTGTGGAAGCCGGGAGTGGAGTTTTCACAGGAGGTGAGGGCCGGACGTCAGGGGGTCTCTGCTCCTCTCTGTCCCCGGTTGCTGCCATGGGACCAGGATCGCTAAGTGTTTCCCCACCCCCACACTGCTTGTGCACAGGGATATCGTCAAAGCCACAGCCTCCCACTGCTGTATGTGGTGCCCCAGTGTCTCCCTCTCACGCCCAGCATGTCACCACGGGGCCTGGTCCCCAGGCCTGCCAGGATGCCCTCCGTCTCCTCCTGGCCGGCCCTCACCTTCTAGCCCCTGACTTCCCACTAGCCGCTTTTCTGGGAAGGGGCTTGAGTTACAGCAGGAGCCCTGGGGCCAGCCACACCACCTTTCCCCTTCTTTCTGCTCCACCCAGGATAGCCCAGAACCTAAAACATGTTTTAGCGATGTGTTTTATTTGTTTGAAAGGCAGAGTGACCGAGACAAAGGGAAAGACGTTGAGATCCTCCATCTACTAGTTCACCCCCTAAATGCCCCTGACAGCCAGGGCTGGGCCAGGTGGAAGCCAGGGGCCAGGAACTCCACCCGGGTCTCCCACGTGAGTGGCAGGGACTCGGGCAGTTGAACCGTCATCCACTGTCTCCCAGGTGCATTGGCAGGAAGTTGTCACACAAGGCAAAGACTTCCCACGTGTGATGCACCTGTCCCAAAGGGACCGTTCAACCCATGGAGCCATAACGCCTGCCCCAGGGTACCACATATCCGAGCTGGGATGTTCAGTCCATTAATTGGATTAAATGCACTTTTTAACAAAACTTTTTTTTTTTTTTGACAGGCAGAGTGGACAGTGCGAGAGAGAGAGAGAGAGAGAGAGAAAGGTCTTCCTTTGCTGTTGGTTCACCCTCCAATGGCCGCCACGGCCGGCGTGCTGCGGCCGGCACATTGTGCTGATCCGATGGCAGGAGCCAGGTGCTTCTCCTGGTCTCCCATGGGGTGCAGGGCCCAAGCACTTGGGCCATCCTCCACTGCACTCCCGGGCCACAGCAGAGAGCTGGCCTGGAAGAGGGGCAACCGGGACAGAATCCGGCGCCCCAACCGGGACTAGAACCCGGTGTGCCAGCGCCGCAAGGCAGAGGATTAGCCTATTGAGCCACAGCGCCGTCCTGAAATAACGAAACTTTTTAAAACTTTTTTATTTTATTTATTTGAATGGCAGGAGAGTAGGGGAGTGGTCTCCCATTCACTGTTCACCCTCAGATGCCTGCAACAGCCGGAGCTGGGCCAGGCCAAAGCCAGGAGCCAGGAACTCCATCCAGGTCTCCCACCTGGGTGGCGGGGCCCCAGCTGTCACTCGCTGCTTCCCAGGTGTGCATTAGCAAGGGCTGGAGTCAGGAGCAGAGCTGAGGCTCAAACCCAGGCACTCCCGCGTGGGCTGCAGCATCCATCCTGAGCAGCATCTTAACGGCTGTACTGAGTGCCTGCCCCCAAACTAACATTGACTTAGAGAGTTTCCAACTCACAACGGGTTTAACAAACCCTCACTCCCTCGCGAGAGCAGGAGGTGTCCAGAACAGTCAAACCCAGAGATGCAGAATCGAGAGGGAGCGCTCCTTGGTTCTGGAGGGGCCGGCATTGTGATACAATGGGTTAAACCACCGCCTGCGACGGATGCTGGTTCGAGTCCTGGCTGCTCCACTTCCGATCCCGCTCCCTGCTAATGCGCCTGGGAAAGCAGTGGAAGATGGCCCAAGTGCTTGGGCCCCTGCATCTGTGTGGGCGATCTGGAAGAAGCTCCTGGCTTCTGCCTGTCCTGTCCCAGCCATTGCAGCCAGTAAATCAGCAGGTGGAAAATCTCTCTCAATCTCTCTCTCTCTCTCTCTCTCTTCCTTTCAAATAAAATAAACACACATTTTAAATGTCTGTAGCTTGGTAGAAGTGACGGATGCACAATCTTATGACTGGAAGAGCAATCCTAGGACTGTGGACTTTAAAAGGGGGAAATTTATAGCCTGGGAATTAGGTCTGACTTTTTTTTTTTTTTTTTTTAAGAGCCATGCTTTGCAACTTTGCCTATTGGGCTAAAAGAGAGTCTGCCTCATTCTGGAAGCTGTTACGCTTCGGGCCACGTGGGAGGGAAGCTTGCAGAGTGCTGGATGGGGGGTTTTCTTGCCTGTCAGGGAGGTGACTGTGGGTGGTCTCTGCTCACTGCATGGGTGGGTCCTGGTGTCTGGGCTCCTGGCAGCTGCTTTCAGGGACGACTTGGAGGACTGCAGGGCTGCGCCCTTGGAGGACCTAGGGGATGAGAGGGGACACCAGGGGGCAGTGTTTAGACACTGACTGCAGGTGCACTTGACTCTCCAGTTTCTCTCCACACTCGAGGCGAATTACCCTGAGCTTTTGAAGCGTGTCATTATAGTGAAAGGTGAGTGAACCCGCTCAAGAGCAGTGTGAGTCGGGACGGGGGCGGGGCGGGGGGCGGAGGGGGCACTAGAGACCCTCGGGGAGCAGCTCTGTGCCTGTTGCAGCCCCCAAGCTGTTCCCCGTGGCATTCAACCTGGTCAAGGCGTGCTTGAGAGAGGAGACCCGCAAGAAGGTGGTGATTCTGGGAGGTGAGTGAGCCGCACCGGGCCCCCTCTCCAGCTGGAAACCGGGGCCCTGGGACACAGCGGGCGTCCAGGGTGCACCACTTGACTGCAATCGCGGAGGCCACTGTGCCTACCCGTCAGAGGGCAGAGGGGCCAGGAGAGGCCTGGGAGGCTGTCCCGGAGCAGCAGGACTCGGGGACGGGGTGGGGCTGTCGGAAGCTGGGGTTGGGAGATGCCAATGGCAGGTCGGCTTTGCCAGTATTTAGCCGCAAATGGGCTGCGTCATCTGAGCTGCATCTCGGTTTCCTAATCTCTCAGCTGGGGAGAACGGGGTCTAGGTTTTCCAAATGATACGATGAAGACAGCACAGGGGTCAGCGTGGGGGCGTAGTGGGTAAGGCCGCCGCCTGCAGTGCTGGCATCCCATATGGGCACCGGTTCTAGTCCCAGCTACTCCACTTCTGATCCAGCTCTCTGCTATGGCCTGGGAAAGCAGTGGAAGATGGCCCAATCCTTGGGCCCCTGCACCCACGTGGGAGACCTGGAAGAAGCTCCTGGCTCCTGGCTTTGATTGGTGCAGCTCCAGCTGTTGCGGACAACTGGGGAATAAACCATTGGATGGAAGACCTCTCTCTCTCTCTCTCTCTCTCTCTCTCTCTCTCTCTCTCTGCCTCTCCTTCTCTCTGTGTAACTCTGACTTGCAAATAAATAAATAAATCTTTAAGAAAGAAAGAAAGAAAAGAATATGTCTAACAACAACAAAAGACAGAAATTTGGCAAATACAAAAAAAGAAAGAAAGGAGAGAAGTCTGGTCCTGAGAGCGGCTTCAGCGCCTCCTGTCTGTTTTTGTTTGAAAAAATACAAACGAGCTCATGCCACCACCCTTTCGTAATCGCTTATCAGGGGGTAAACGTTTTCCACTTCAGTCAACGTCTGAACTTAGGTCACCTATATTTTTAGATTTTTTTGCTTTTTTAAAAAAGATTTATTTATTTATTATTTGAAAGGCAGAGTTATAGAGAGGCAGAGGCAGAGAGAGAGAGAGAGAGGTCTTCCATCCCCTGGTTCACTCCCTCAAAGGGCCACAATGGGCCGATCCAAAGCCAGGAGCCAGGAGCTTCTTCCAAGCACTTCCAAGCTGCACTGCTTTCCCAGGCCATCAGCAGGAAGTTGAATTGGAAGTGGAGCAGCTCAAAACCAGTAACCATGTGGGATGCTGGCGCTACGGGTGGAGGCTTAGCCCACTTCGCCACAGCGCCAGCCCCCAGATCGGCTCTTTTCATTTCTTGTTTATCGCCTCCTTCTATCTCATGCCCACTTTCTAATCAAGTGTTTTTCTTATTGATTTACGAATGCTCTTTACATATCACGTGCATGGATATGTCCCTGTAATATTCCTGGCAAACACATTCCCCAGTTCAGTCAGTCTATTATCTGACTTTTTACTGAGTGTTGTGTTTATGTTTTTATGTCCAGCCTGGGGGGACTTTTCTTTGATTTGTTTTTTCGTGGCTTGTGTACTTAAACAATTGATTCCTACTCCACGGCCAACTGGGTGTCCACCTCTGGTTTCTCCTACTTTGTTCCTCTGATGTCTTTGTCCCTTGATCTATGGAAGACCCCTGCGCATATCACAGCAGTTTTGGGGGGAGCTACCCTAGGTGTGGCCCTGCAGTTCTGAGACAGCTGGAGCCCTGGGAGTCAAGGGCTGGAACTGACTCAGTATGCAGGGAGAGGGAAGCCCAGCTTGGAGCTTGCCCGGTCTCAGTCCCAGGGCCTAGGATATTCAGGTCTCAGTCCCCAGGGACGTGGCCCCTGGAAAGAAGGGGCAGGGTCTGGAGGAGCAGCAAGAGTGGGCAGAGGAACCAGCAAGGGACCAGACACAGAGCCACTCAGCCTCTGTTCCCCAGACAATGGGGCACTGGAAGTGTGGCCCGCTCAGCACCAGCTCCAGGACAGCTCCCGGCTCAGCCAGCCCCGCCCTAGTCGACCCCCACCTCCGAGCCCCCTTGGAGACTCCTCTGTCACCACCCCCATGCAGACAACTGGAAGCAGGATCTGCACAAGTTCATCAGCCCCGACCAGCTGCCCGCGGTGTTTGGGGGGACCATGACCGACCCCGACGGCAACCCCAAGTGCCTGACCAAGGTACAGGGACCCAGACACGGGGCAGGGGCAGGCAGGTAGGCAGCAGCGTGGTCCATGGCTCACCTGCCCCCGCCTGCAGATCAACTACGGGGGCGAGGTGCCCAAGAGCTACCACAGGCGCCAGCAGGTGAGGCTGCAGTACGAGCACACGGTGTCCGTGGGCCGCGGCTCCTCCCAGCAGGTGGAGAACGAGATCCTCTTCCCAGGCTGTGTGCTGAGGTGGGCGCACCTGCCCAGGGTGGGGGTGGGGGTGGGGTGCTGCACCCCAGGCAGGGGGGCGTCAGTGGGGCTCTGTCGCCTGCAGGTGGCAGTTTGCATCAGATGGCGGGGACATCGGCTTCGGGGTCTTCCTCAAGACCAAGATGGGGGAGCGGCAGCGGGCAGGGGAGATGACGGCGGTGCTGCCCAGCCAGCGCTACAACGCCCACCTGGTGCCCGAGGACGGGAGCCTCACCTGTGCGGAGGCCGGCGTGTGTGAGTGTAGTCAGGGGAGCCCCGCCTGGACTTGGGGTGGGAGGAGGGTTCCTAGATGTGCAGCCAGGACCCGCCGGGTGGTGGCCACTGCCTCCAGTAGGCACAAACAGGGCTGAGTCAGTGTCTCCCAAACCCTGACCACCCACCATGCAGGGAGGGGTCCCAGGGCTGGGGTGGGGGAGGGGCTCCTGTCCAAATGTCTGTCCTGGACCCCAGATGTCCTGAGGTTTGACAACACCTTCAGCCTGGTTCACTCGAAACACGTCAGCTACACCGTGGAGGTGCTGCTCCCAGACCAAACGCTCCTGGAGAAGATGGAGGACCATTCTAGGTGAACCCTGCGGCCGCCACATCTCTCCAGGGGCCACACCTCTCCCTGGGGACTGAGACCAGCAAATGCTGGGCCACTGGGACTGAAGCCGGACAAGCTTCAACCTGGGATCCCTCCCTGGGGATGGGGATCCCCCAACAGCACGTCACAGCCTGTCTGGCACAGCTGGCCTGCTCCTGCCACACAGAAGCAGCACACTCTGTCCCCATGTCACCTCCAGCGACCTCCAGCTCAGGAAAAAACTCCCGGCCTTTTCCTATGCACCAAGACCAAGAAAAGAGTTACTCTTCCAAAGTATAGCGTATTGGCGTGTGAGCTAGCAGTTAAGGGACTCCGTGAGACACCTGCGTCCCATGTCAGTCCCTGCCAGTGTGCACCAGGGAGCTGGCTCCTGATGGCTCAAGTGCCTGGCCCCGGCCACCTGTGTGGGAGACCCTGCTGGAGTTCCAGGCTGACAGGTTGGGCCTGGCCCACCCCCAGCTGTTGTGTGCATCTGGGAGTGGACGAGCAGGTGGACAATCCTCTGTCCGTCTGTCTCTCCCTCTCTGACTTTCAAATGAATAAATGAACATATAAAACTAAAGTGCAGAGTGTTCATGGAACACCTGACACGTGATAAGGCCGGCAGGTCAGGAAATGATTGGCCTTGAAGAGAGAGTTGAATACTCACAGTTCCCAAGAGGAGTGCTGTAGCATACCCTGGGGTGGAGGGAGTGGGAGAACTCGGGGCCAGGGCCATGGGCGGAGCTAGGCAAGGCAGGTGGCAGGCTTGGGTTGTGACAGTCACAGGAGATCGGGGCACACGGGCTGCCCTACCTGTTGGGTCCCTGGCCCCGTGAAACCTTAATAAAGCAGGGGGTTGGACTGTGGCTTTGTAATCAGTTGATTTGCACTGACAATGCTGCCTGCGAGTGACTATCTCCAGGAACTGGCTAACTCGGAAGACACGGTCCCTCCATGGTCACCAAGACCCCAGAGGTCAATGCATCAGGATCCAGAGAATAGTGGCCCAGATCCATCCAGCTACCCAGCAAGCGGCCACGGCTCACAGAGAAGCCATCGAGAAAGAGTTTGGTCTCTGACTTGGGTGCACCTGCTGGTGTCACAGGATCTGAGGATTCAGTCACTCCCTGGGTCTCCATCCAAGCTGCTGATTTTTAAAACTTTATCTATTTGGGCCAGCGCTGTGGCTCAATACGCTAAACCTCCGCCTTGCGATGCCGGCACACCGGGTTCTAGTCCCAGTCGGGGTGCCAGATTCTGTCCTGGTTGCCCCTCTTCCAGGCCAGCTCTCTGCTCTGGCCAGGGAGTGCAGTGGAGGGTGGCCCAAGTGCTTGGGCCCTGCACCCCAGGGGAGACCAGGAGAAGTACCTGGCTCCTGCCTTCAGATCAGCGCGATGTGCCAGCCGCGGCGGCCACTGGAGCGTGACCCAACGGCGAAAAGGAAGACCTTTCTCTCTGTCTCTCTCTCACTGTCCATCCTGCCTGTCAAAAAAAAAAATTATTTATCTATTTGAAAGGCAGAGTGACAGAGATACAGGAGCAGAAAGGGAGAGAAGAGAGATCTTCCATCCGCTGGTTCACTCCCCGAATGGCCTCAATGGCCAGAGCTGAGCCGATCCATAGCCAGGAGCCTGGAGCTTCTTCTGAGTCTCCCACGTGGGTAGCACGGGCCCAAGGACTTGGCATTAACTGCTGGATCAGAAGTGGAGCATCTAGATTTGAACCAGCGCCCATATGGGATGCAGGCATTGCAGTCAGCAGCTTAACCCACCGTGCTACAACACTGCCCCCTGGTGGCATCGTCTAGGACCACCACCGCTTGTACTATCATCAGTGGTATTGGCAGTGCGCTGAAGAAACAGGGGTAATGAATTTGTACTTCACCAGTGAGGCGGAACTCCTTAGAGCATGCTCCAGCGCAGCTGGCCTGGGTGGTCTTGGAGTGGCTTTGCAGCCAGGGCTCAGTGTAGCACAGGGTCCTGCTTGCTGTTGGCGCCTTGGAGGTCCTGCCCCAGGCCCACCACGGGTCCTTGCTGTAGCCTCTGGAGCGGTTTCTCCGTGTCTGCTTCACACGTGGCCTCCTCGGTTTTGCAGCAGAAGAAAGACGGAAATCCAGTGTGGCCTCAGAACCCTGCGCCTGTCCTATGGATGGGGTTTCTGGCGGCCAGTGAGACTTCCCGTTGCTCAGCCCTCTGCCTCTCTCAGGCTCTGTGGCCATCTTCCTTCTGCGGGAGCAGAGCGGGTGTGGCCCCACCTTTCACCTGCTGTTGATGTGAGCAGCCAAAGGCACGCCTCGCCCCAGTCACCTGTAGCCCAGTCTCCACCCCACCCCCCAGGCAGGCCCAGGGCTGAGGCCACCTTGCCCTGGGCACTTGTGTCGGGCAGGCACTCCCACCCTCACTTGGCGTCACCCAGCCAGGCCCTGTGTCTTGGAGGGACGTCCTGTGACATCGGTCCTGCTGTGAAGTGTGCTGGCAGGGAGGGGCCGGGCTGCCTCCTGCAGAGCCTCCTCCCCTGGGCCTGGCCCCAGTCCCAGGTCAGGGGTTGGAAGTAGGGCAGCCGGCAGGGCACCTGTGGTCATGACAGAAGGAAGTTGGGGAGCACCTGGGAGGTGGGCGGGGAGGCCGCGAGTGAGTGGGCCGTGCCCTGTGGGGTGCGGGTGGCGTACCTCGCCGACAGCATCATGGCTGGTCTGCTTCTCAGCTCTCGGGCCAGGAGGGGCCAAGAGAGAGCCGGAGCTTGGAAAGGGGCCCACCACGGGCGAGCAGGCTCCCGCAGTCCCCAAACCACTGGCGTCCACGGGACCAGGACAAAGTCGTCCACGGCCAGCAGCACTGGGATGCCCCCAGCTTGGAGTCCCCGCAATTCTGCCTCCCGTTCCACTTCCTGCTGAGGCGCACCTGGGAGACAGCCGGGGATGCCGCCCAGCGGGACACCCAGGTTGAATCTCAGGCTGCTGGCTTCCGCTGGCCCAGCCCTGGCTGTTGCAGCCACTTGGAGGGTGAACCGGCGGCTAGGAGATGTGTCTCTCCACCTTCCCTGTGACACTGGAAATCAAAACAAAACCACCTTGGCAAACTGCCCTCGGGACGCCACCTTCCCGTTGTCCCCTGTGCCCTCACAAGCAAAGCTTCCCCTGAGCGGCTCCTGGGGAGTCTGGTTATTGGCGACACCGCGGGCGAATGAACCCTCCGTGTGGGCTTCTCCCCGTGTGTGCGCCCTCAGGGCCCCTTTGTCAGGACGTGTCTGGTAGGCGCCCCCACCTGGTCCTGGCTCATTGCTGGGATGTGCCATCCTTAGCTGACCATGGAGCTTGGCCTTACCTTTTCTTTCTTTCTTTCCTTCCTTCCTTCCTTCCTTCCTTCCTTCCTTCCTTCCTTCCTTCCTTCCTTCCTTCCTTCCTTCCTTTCTTCTTTCTTTCTTTCTTTCTTTCTTTCTTTCCTTCTTTCCTTCTTTCCTTCTTTCCTTCTTTCTTTCCTTCTTTCTTTTTTCGACAGGCAGAGTGGACAGTGAGAGAGAGAGAGACAGAGAGAAAGGTCTTCCTTTTCTGTTGGTTCACCGCCCAATGGCCGCCGCGGTCGGCACACTGTGGCCAGCACACCGCGGTGATCCGAAGCCAGGAGCCTGGCGCCTACGCCTGGTCTCCCATGCTGCTGCAGGGCCCAAGGACCTGGGCCATCCTCCACTGCCCTCCCGTGCCACAGCAGAGAGCTGGACTGGAAGAAGAGCAACCGGGACAGAATCCAGCGCCCCAAACGGGACTAGAACCCGGTGTGCCGGCACCGCAGGCGGAGGATTAGCCTAGTGAGCTGCGGAGCTGGCCTGGCCTTATCTTTTTTTCAAAAAAATTTAATTATTTATTTGAGAAGTAGAGTTGCAGAGAGAGGCAGAGAGAGAGAGAGAGAGAGAGAGAGAGAGAGAGAGAGAGAGAGAGTTCTTCCATCCACTGGTTTACTCCACAAATGGCTGCAACAGCTGGAGCTGAGAGAATCTGAAGCCAGAGTCTTCTGGGTCTCCCACACGGGTGCAGGGGCCCAAGCACTTGGGCCATCTTCTACTGCTTTCCCAAGCCACAGCAGAGAGCTGCATTGGAAGAGGAGTAACCAGGACTCGAACCAGTGCCCATATGGGATGCTGGTGCCGCAGGCAGAGACTTAGCCTGCTATGCGAAAGCACCTGCACCCACAAGGCCTTACCTTAACTAATTACATCTGCAATGACTCTATGTGCAAGGAAGCTCGTATTCGGAGGTCCCGGGAATCAGGATTTCAACAAGAGAGTTGTGAACATTTAAATCCAGCTCTCAGCATCGCACGTAGCTTATGGAGCCGTCAGGATGTGAGCAGTCAGGGCAGTGCTGGGCGCAGGGGTTAAGCCGCCACCTGCAACGCTGGCATCCGACTGAGCACCTGTTCCAGTCCTGGCTGCTCCACTCCCAATCCACTTCCTGCTAATGCTCCTGGGAACGCAGCGGAGGGTGGCAGGGACTCGTGTAACTGACCCAGCATCCACCGCCTACCAGGAGCCTCGGGGGGAGCTGGGTCATTAGTGGGGGTGCTGAGGCTCAAACCTGCATCTGATACGCGAGTCTGGCACTGCAGCGGCAGGTTATCCTGCTCTACCCACAAGGCTTCTGGTAGCCCCAACTTTTTTTGTTTAAAACATTTATTTCTTTGAAAGGCAGAGTTACAGAGAGAGAGAGAGAGAGAGAGAGAGAGAGAGAGGTCTTGCATCCTCTGGTTCACTCCCCAAATGGCCACAACAGCCAGGGCTTGACCAGGCTGAAGCCAGGAGCCAGGAGCTTCTTCCAGGCCTCCCACGTGGGTGCAGGGGCCCCAGCACTTGGGCCACCTTCTGCCTGTCTCCCAGGTGCATCAGGCTGGAGATGGAGTAGCCGGGACTCCAACTGGTGCCCATATGGGGATGCCGGAGTGGCAGGTGGCAGCTTTAACCCACTGTGCCACAGCTCCGGCTCTTGGGTGCAATTAACTTTAACTTTGTCTTCATCCAAACAGACCACAAATGTTGTTTCCACAGGGTGCCCACTCATGTACAACTGTCCGCGGGGAAATCTCTCTCTCGTGCTAAGGCCCTGAAAGGTGGTTTGGGTTTGCACTGGCAGCCCCTCCCCCTCCGTGCCCCCTGGCGGTGACTCTGCATCCAGGGCTGCCCAGCATGGGGCCTGGCACCTGCATCTGGGGGGGGTGGCAGGGGGCTACTGTGGCCCCGCCCCCTTCCCCTGCACTCCCACCTGCTGCTCTGGGCACTCCTGGAAAGCCGAGGTGTTTTTCACCTTGCCCACTGCTGGGTTTGTCCCCTGTGCTGTCGCCTCTCGGTCGCCTCCCACTCCTTGACCTTCAGCAGGGATGGGACCCACCCTGGAGCCGGCCAGCTGGGCCCTCCCTGACCACCACCCCTAGGCAGTAGCCTCCATGACAACAGTTAGGAAAAGGCCGCCTTCCCGGGGCACGCGAGGGAGGCGTCAGCAAAACCAATCCTGCCCCTGCGGAAAAGGCTGCCCCCATGCCGAGTTCACCGGGTCCAGCCTGAGGTCAAGGCCAGGGAGGCAGCCAGGGCGCCCCCTGGGTGGAGAGGGTTGTGCCAGGTTTATTATTTTGTGTGGCAGGACACACCCGAGGTGTCCCCTAAGCACAGCACCCACGTCCCGGGTCACCTGGGAACAGGAAGGAGCCTTTGGAGTGACCAGGTCTGGAGGTGGATGGAGGCTGCTGGCTGGCCCGGACGCCGGGAGTGCGCTCTGGCCAGGTCACCTGCCCGCCCCAGGGAGGGTGTGCTTAGCGACCCAGTCACCCCTCCTCCCCCTCTCCCCGCCCAGGGTAGCCAAGAACCAGGCGGGTGGGGCGGGACCAACATCTGGCTCCACCAGGCCAAAAGCAGGCGCTGAGCCCAGGCAGGCAGATGCATCCTGACCCAGCCGCACCCTGCGCCTCTCTGCTCGCCCAAGCACCATGAGCGGCCGAGTCGGGGACCTGAGCCCCGCGCAGCAGGAGGCGCTGGCCAAGGTGAGGGGCACTGCCGGCAGCAGGGAGGTCTGGGCAGGGACCCAAGCAGCCAGAGGCTTGCCAACCCGGCTGGACCCACTGTGGTTGGGATGCAACCCCCTATCCCCTCCCCCAGCCCGGCGCCCCTTTGCCCTGCCCTGGAGCCAGCCTGGGCACAGGTGCTGGGCTCACAGCAGACCAGAGTGCTCTCCTGGGCAGCTGTGCTGACAACTGCAGCCACGCTGGCCACCACTGGGTCCTGACCCTTGTTCCCAGCGCCGGGGACTGGGGATGGCACTCCCATCAGCCGCTGGGCGGCCCTGAACAGGCAGGTCCCAGATCTTGTGCCCAGATGGCGACTTTGGTTTGCTTGGTTTCTCTCTGTGGCTCTGTGAGTCCTTAGGGCCCAAGCCTGCTCCCTACAGCTCCTTTATTTATTTATTTTCTGAACACAAAACTTCCAGGCTTCAGCTGGGAGTGTCATGGTCCACCGGCAAAGGAGACCCCATCCTGTCTTGGGTGTCGCAGCCACACTAGGTGGCCCCCAATGGCCAGGACTGGAAACTGACTTCAAGTGTGGGGGAAGGGGAGGTCACAGCCCCCGTCCACTCTGGCAGCTGAAGACCCCTGGGTCCTCCCTGGGGAAAGAGGACTCTGATTGTATTCCCAGGGGAGGAGAGGGGTCTCCCAGGTCGGGGAGGAGGGTCTTGGAGGAGGACAGTGGTTCCAGGATGAGGGAGGGCCCCACAGGGGACAGCAACGGCCCCCAGGCAAGGAAGGGACTTCAATGACAGGTCTCCTAGGGAACGGAGGGGGTCCCCTGGTGATCCTCCCCTCCCCCACTCCCCACGGCTGATGCCTTCAGGGACCTGGGGTGGTACTGGACACCTGGCCTTTGAGGGTGAGTTCTGACAGTGACATCTTTTTTTGGGGGGGAGAGAAGAATTAGAAGAAGTGGGGGCAAGTACCCATGGTCCCAGGGATCAGGACAGTGGTCCCCTTCTAGATTCTCCTGGAGTCTGGTTCTGAACACCTCCCACCACACTGCTGGCTGTGGCTTTCCCCAAGGCCATGCCCTAGGGTGAATCTCCAGGTGGCTCTGAGCACCTGCTCGGTGCCGCACTGCTCTTCAGGTGCACATCCCCTGGGTGCCCCCCCGAGAGTGAAAGAGAGAGTCGGTCCCCCCCCCCAGGACCTTGCCCCAGCCTCAGTTTCCCAATCTGTAAAGCAGAGGCGTGACCTCGGCCCCTCCTGTCTCAGGCTCAAACCATGGAAGCCAGGAGCCTGAAGGGGCTGAGTTCCGGGGTCTCGGGGGACAGTGTCCCCTCCGGCCACCTCGGGAGCCCAGCCCAGTGCCTGTCCAGATCGTTCTAGAAGCTGCTGTTACTCATTAACACTGGAGATGTCGCAACGGATGGTTCAGTTTCAGTTGCGCAAACAACATGGGAACGCAGGCTTATTTGAAACCTCCTCCGGGAATCAGACCACAGAGATGGCGTCCCAGGCCGCCCCCACCTGTTCATACTCCCATGTTGGACACGGATTCCCTTCCAGACTCAGCCCTTGATCGGTGGCTCGGAAGCAGGGTCTCCTCTCTCTCGGACTCGGGATGCCGGTGGCGTCCCCAGACTCCACCGAGAGGAGAAGGCGCCCACACTCTATGCTTGTCCCCAGCAGAGATGCTGATGAGGCCTCTGGCCCCCCTCTCGGACCCTCTCTGCTGATCTCTGCCTCTGCTTTTCCCCACGAGGGCCCCACTGTCCAGGGCTCCAGGCCACCTGCTCCAGCCAGGCCTGCTTGATGGGCACGAGTGCATCATGATCCTCATTTCTCAATGAGGAAACTGATCCTCATTTCTCAATGAGGAAACTGAGGCTGGGAGAGGTTTAAGTAACCTGCATCCGAACCTGACCCTCCAGCAACATGGCTGGCCTGCACGAGACTCACTGAGGGGTCATAACCATAGCTCTCTCAGTCTTGCAGAAAGAGAGTTTTGGGGTGCAGAGCATGCCTGGAGGTGGGGGAGGCCCCACCTTTTCCTCCCAGGATGGGCTGGAGGGCCCCCTGCTCCCAGATGGAATAGCGATGGGGCAGCTGCTGCTAACCCTGCCCCCCTGACCCCGCAGGGTCCCTAGGGAGGGCTGTCTGGCAGCCGAGGGTGGGCGGGGCCTCTGACCATCGTGTCCCCCACGTAGTTCCGGGAGAATCTGCAGGACCTGCTGCCCGCCCTGCCCAACGCTGATGACTACTTCCTCCTGCGCTGGCTTCGAGGTGAGGCTGGTGGGGGCGGGAGGGAAGGGAGGGAAGGGGGGAAGACAGGTACCAGGGGAGGGGATGGACAATGTTGGGAACAGTGCCCCAGAGGAGTAAAGAACAAGGGTCCGGGACAGCATCTGCGCTCCCCTGTGTGCTGGAGAAACCTCCTGCCGAGCCTCAGTTTGTGCATCTGCACAATGGGATGAGGCACTGCATGGATATGAGCTCAGGGTTCACACCAGGGAGGTCATGGGCATGGATGGCCGGGCCTGCAGCCAGACAGGAAGGGACTTCCAGGAGCTGGAGGAAAAGGGTGGGCCATGAGGCACAGTGATTAGCTTGCTGCTTGGGATGCCTGCAACCCATGTGGGAGGGCCCCATTCAAGTCCCTGCAGGGAGAAAGACAGACAGACGGGCAGACAGACAGACAGGGGGAGCTCTTTCATCTACTGGCTTGCTCCCCAAGTCCCATACAGCTGGGGCTGGGCCCAGCTTCCCTGCACGGGTGGCAGGGACCCAACCACTTGAAACCCCAGCTGCTGCCTCCCAGGGGCTGCACCAGCCTCAAACCAGATTCGGAAGTGGAGCTGAGACTGGAGCCAGGCACCCTGAGATGGGGGCGGGGTCTCAGCAGGATTTCTCTTCTGTGCCACGCAGCCCCCCTGGCGTGGACTTCAAGGAAGCTCCTCCCTCAGGCCTGACACCAAGGAGCTTCCCTGCCCTCCTGCTGAAGGCCCCCTTCCCCCACGTGGCTCTGTCTGCATCCCAGGTGTCCACTGCAAGAGGGTGGGACTGTGCCTCCCTGGTACCCACAGCCTAGCACATAGTAGGTGCTACTGAAATCTACCCTCGCATCTCATCAGCAGTGCCCGATGCACTGGAGTCTATAGGATGAGGAGCCACACCCTGGTTCTCCACAGAAAAGTATCCTGTCTGGGTGGACATTGGCTCGGTGGTGGAAATGTCCCCTGGGACTCCAGGTCCCACATTCGAGCCCTGGCTCCTCCAGGTAGGACTCCAGCTTCCTGCCAGCGTGCGCCCTGGGAGGCAGCAGGTGACGGCTCAGGTGCTTGGGTTCCTGCCCCCTTGTGGGAGACCTGGATCAGATCCCAGCTCCTGGCTTCCCTCCCGCCCAGCCCTAGAGTTGCGGACATTTGGGGGTTGAACCAGTGGAAGGAAGATCTCTCTGTGTCTCTCTGCCTTTGGAACAGAATAAAAATAAATGTTTAAAAATGTTTTTAGAAGTAAAAATATCCTACAGACAACCAAGAGATCATTTTTAGAAGCCCATAAAATAATGTAATGAACATTTATCGTATTTGAAAATTAAATGAAATCAATATATTCCTTGAAAAAAACTAAAAGGCCAAATCCAGCAAGAAGAACCCTATACAGACCAATAAATATGTTTTAAAAGATTTATTTATTTATTTGAAAGGCAGAGCTACAGAGAGGCAGAGGCAGACAGAGGTCTTCCATCCGCTGGTTCACTCCCCAGATGACCCCAGGGCCGGAGCTGAGCCGATCCGAAGCCAGGAGCCAGGAGCTTCTTCCGGGTCTCCTGTGTCAGTGCAGGGACCCAAGCACTTGGGCCATCTCCTATTACCTTCCCAGGCCACAGCACAGAGCTGGATCTGAAGTGGAGCAGCCGCTTGAACCAGCAGCAGGGACTCAGACAGGCACCCATTGGGATGCAGCTACCGCAGACAGAGCCTTACCCTCATTTGCCATAGCGCCGGCCCCAAAAAATGTTAAAGACATTGACATGGTACGAAAAAAAGAAAGAAAGCAAAAGAAAAAGCTCCCGAGAAAACTCACTCCAGAGGTGTGACCTCCAGATTCCTCCCAAGTTTCAAGACCAGTTAGCTGTCGTTTTATACAAATGACCCAAGTTGTTTCAGAATGTATGTGAAACTTACAGATGTTCTGAAACTTATAGACACATACATATTTTGATACTTATGAGGCTTGGCCAAGTTTGATTCCAAAGCAAGATCAGGATAATAATAAAAAAGAAAAGAATATTCTAGGCCACTTTACTTACTCGTCTAAAGGGGTCTGAAGATATGATTGCACAATAGAATCCAACCAGGGCTTAAAATATACAGCATAACCAAAGAAAGGTTATAGATTCATCTATTTACTTGAAAGGCAGTTACAGAGAGAGAGCAAGAGCGAGAGCGAGAGCGAGAGAGAGAGAGAGAGAGAGAGATTTTCCATTCACTTGTCCACTCCCCAAATGGCTGCAACAGCCAGGGCTGGGCCAGGCCGAAACCAGGAGCCAGGAGCTTCCTCCAAGGAGGACATCTACATCACAGGGCTGGCACTGTGCTACAGCAGATTAAACTGCTACCCGTGACAGCAGAATCCCACATGAGCGCTGGTTCGAGTCCCGGCTGCTCCACTTCCATTCCAGCTCCCTGGGAATGAGCCTGGGAAAGCAGCAGAGGACAGCCCAAGTGCTTGGGCCCCTGACACCCATGTGGGAGACCCTGGTTGAAGCTCCTGGCTCCTGGCTTTGGCGTGGCCAGCCTTATCTGCTATGGCCCTCTGGGGAGCGGACCAGCGGAGGAAATCTCTCTCTCTCTCTCTCCCCCGCTCCACCCCCTGTAACTCTGCCTTTCAAATAAAATACATAAATCCTTAAAATCAATAAATAAATCTTCCCAAAAAGGGGGGATGGAAGCTTCTAGAGTAAACTTAAAAAGAGAGAGTGAACATTCAGCAATATTGCCAGATACAAAAATCAATCATATTTTTCTATGCAATAATACCTAACTGTGAAATGAAATGAAAAATCAGATACCATTAAAAAATAGAAAAGCCCATAAAATACCTAAAATGTTAATTTAAACACATAAGAATTGTACAGAAAAAAAAACAGAATCTTTTCTTTGGGGGTTATTCATTTATTTAAAGGCAGAGTTACAGAGAGAGAGGGAGAGACAGAAAGAGAGAGAGAGCTTCCATCCACTGGTTCACTCTCTAAATAGCCACAACAGCCAGAATTGGGTGTTCCAAAGCCAGGAGACAGGAGCTTCTTCCAGGTCTCCTACATGTGTTTAGGGGCCCAAGCACTTGGGCCATCCTCTGCTGCTTTCCCAGGCCATTAGCAGAGAACTACATTGGAAGTGGAGCAGCCAGGACTTGAACCAGCGCCCATATGGGATGTCGGCACTGCAGGCAGAAGTTTACCCTACTACGCCACAATGCCAGCCCAAGAATCTTAAAATCTCTAAATGGAGTTGGGTGTTTGACCGAGTGGTTAAGACACTGGTTGAGATGTTCGTGTTGTATATCAGAGTGCCTGGGTTCATCTTCCATCCATTGGTTCACTCCCCAAATGGCTACAATGGCTGGGGCTGGGCCAGGCAAAGCTGGAAGCCATGAACTCCATCCAGGTCTCGCATACGGATGCAGGGGCCCAAGCACTTGGGCCATCTTCCGCTGCTTTTCAAGGCACGTTAGCAGGGGGCTGGATTGGAAATGGAGCAGCCAGGACTTGAACCGGTGTTCCACACACGTGGTGTCTTACCCCTCTGTGCTATGACGCTGGTCCCTAGAAGATGGTGTTGTAGACTGGAGACAAGAGCAGGCCAGTGAACTTGATGCCTTGTCCTCAAATATTTGCACAGCTCCCTCAATGACAAGAAGCTCTGTGTACTTACTCGACCTCTGACAACAGGGCTGGCATCACTATGAGATGGCCTTGGGCTCCGTCCAAGCTGCTGAGGAAGGCAGTGGGTTACCTGCAGAGGTCGTGAGCTCCTCATCACAGGAGACAATCAAGGCTGAGCTGGTGGTTCTTCCTGGAGGTGACCCATGATCAGGGGAGTGTCTCAGGTTCTTCCCTTTGGAGAGGTCTGACGGCGTCTCTCACTGCAGCTCCACGAATGGCAAACTCCTCAGTGATCCAGTAACCATGGCATTTCTTTCTTTAAAAAAGTAATGTTTATTTTATTAATTAGAAAGGTAGTGTAGAGAGAGAGAGAGAGAGAGAGAGAGAGGATGAGAGAGGTTTTCTATCCGCTGGTTCACTGCCCAAATGGCTGCAACATCCAGTGTTGGACCAGGCTGAAGCCAGGAGCCAGGAGCTTCTTCCAGGTCTCCCACATGGGTGCAGGGGCCCAAGGACTTGGGCCATCTTCCACTGCTTTCCCAGGACATAGCAGAGAGCTGGATTGGAAGTGGAGCAGCCGGGACTTGAACCAGCGCCCATATGGGATGCTGCCATTGCAGGCGGAGGCTTAGCCCACTACGCCACAGCTCCAATTCCTAGAAGGGATTTAAAAGGCCCAGAAACCAAAATGGAGGCCCCTCCAGAGTTTTCTAGAAGACTCAAGATCCTTGGTTTCATGAAGTATCTCTAGATCCCCCTCGTATTCCCGGCGTGGCGGGAGGAGGCTGGGATCCCCCGCTCCCGTCTCCTGAGCTCCGGGCACAGCTCAGCCCAGAGCCGGCCTCCAGCCTCTCCTTCCTGGCCTCCTCTTGTTCCTGCAGCCCGAAACTTCGACCTGCAGAAATCCCAGGACATGCTCCGGAAGGTGAGCCCCGGCGCCCTGGCGTCCTGCCCCCTGCCCGCCGGCCCTGGGAGGAGCGGCAAAGGGTGGGGGCTCTCGCTGGGTCCTGTGGAGCCCTTTCTGCCCCAGACTCGCTTCTCTCTCCCATCCGTCCTCCTCTCCCCACCCCGGGCCCTGTGATGGAGCCTGGCGGGGGCGCTGGAGCGACCTTGGTGGCTGTGGGCAGAGGACCTGGCCTGGTGACCCAGGTGCCCCCAGAGGCCACCGAGTCTTCAGCCTGCACCGTGTCTCACAGCACGTGGAGTTCCGGAAGCAACACGACCTGGACAACATCCTCACATGGCAGCCCTTGGAGGTGAGCGCCCCGTGGCACCCCCGAGGCCCCCGATGCCCACGTCCTGCCTGCCACACACCCCCGGGACGGGGCAGGGACACGGCCTGGGGGCGCTGCTTTGAGCCAGCCCCCCCTCCCCGCCCCCCGCCCCGCACATGCGCAGGTGGTCCAGCTCTACGACTCGGGCGGCCTGTGCGGCTACGACTACGAAGGCTGCCCCGTGTGGTTCGACATCATCGGCACCCTGGACCTCAAGGGCCTCCTCCTGTCGGCCTCCAAGCAGGAGCTGGTGCGCAAGCGCATCAAAGCCTGTGAGCTCCTGCGGCAGGAGTGCGAGCGGCAGAGCCAGAAGGTGAGCGCAGGGGCAGGGTGGGGGTGGGAGCAGGGGCGGGGTGGGGCTGTGTGGCAGATCTGAGTGTCTAAAACGGGACCCCAGGACCAGGGAGGGCCGCCCTCTGCCCTCTGCCCCCTGCCCCACCCCAGCCCGCCCCAGCCCTCAGCACCCACCATGGGCATCTAGCAGGTGCATTGCAGGGTCTGAGGGTGTGAGTCAAGGGTCAGCAATGCCCTTTGTCCCTCTCTCTGGGACACTGACTTTGGCTACAGGGAAGGTTCCAGCTCTGGTCCCCCAGGAACCCTGGGATGGGCAAGGCAGTCAGTTTGCTTAGGGAAGAGCTGTCCCCTTGTCGTCAATTACGTAACCACAAACCTGGCGGGTGAGCGGTTACTTCGGGCATCCCTGAGAGCAAAGACCCTTGAAGCTGGGTGCATTTCTTGCAAGACCCTAGACGCTACTAGGGAGTTGCCCAAGAATATGGGGCCAGGGGCTGCTCAGCCAGGAAGCGCTCCACATACCAGGCTAGCCCGTTTTCCGTTACTATCACAAGATACCTGAGTATTTTATTAACACCTGGGCACTTTGCAAAGAAAAGAGGTTTACTTAGCTCAGAGTTCTGGGAGGTTCGAGGCCATGGCGCTGGCCTCATGGTAGATGACATCACGGCAGGAGCTCACGAGAGACAGAGCAGGAACGAGAGCCAGGAGCCAGGCCAGGCCCGCTGGTTCATAACAACTCACTCTCATAACTGGGCGCTCCTGAGAATCCTTAATTCCTCCCTAAGACAGCGCCCCCAGGGACCTCCCCCACCCCTGGCCCCACCTCTTTTTCATTTTATTAAGATTTATTTATTTTTAAAGTCTATTTATTTACTTAAAGGCAAAATTACAGACAGAGAGAGAGAGACACAGAGTGAGGTCTTCATCCACTGGTTCACTCCCCAAATGGCTGCAACAGCCAGAACTGGGCAGGTCCAAGGTCAGGAGTCAGGAGCTTCTTCTGGGTCTCCCACGTGGGTGCAGGGGCCCAAGCACTTGGGCCATCTTCTACTGCTTTCCCAGGCCACAGCAGAGAGTTGGATCGGAAGAGGAGCAGTCAGGACTCGAACCAGCGCCCATATGGGATGCTGACACTGCAGGTGGTAGCTTACCTATTAAGCCACAGTGTCCACCCCAAGTAATATTATTTTAAAAGATGCTTAACGAGTGAAGTCTTCAATTCAGTAGTTCATCTACTCAAGGCAGTGATGTGGAGTGAGAACGTGTGCACACCACGAATGCACACACAGTCTGTGCAAGGCTCAGATGAGTCTCCTCGGCCCTCACATGGGGTCCATCTGTTTGGAAGACGCTTTGGGCTGTGAGAGAATGTGGGGTAGCAGGGGGAATGGGGAGGGGGTCTCTGCGGCCAGGGGCTCCTGGCTGGAGCTGCCGCCTGACCGCCAGCCCTGCTCTGTCCTGTGCAGCTGGGCAGAAAGATCGAGATGGTGCTGATGGTGTTTGACATGGAGGGGCTGAGCCTGAGGCACCTGTGGAAGCCAGGAGTGGAGGTGTACCAGCAGGTGAGGCGGGCAGCTGACCCCAGGCTGGGACACGGCGGCTCCTGGGCCAACCCAGACCCACGGGGGTTGTGGGGAGGGGGTGCCCCACTGCCCACACCAGCTTCTCTGGTCTGTGACAGAGCTGGAACGGCTACCCCGTCCATCCCATGGGCCAGCAGCTGGCCTGGGGACGCCCATACCAGGAGGAGATGAGGAGGGGCCAGGGTAACAGTGAAGCAAACACGCTCACGGGACAGCAGCACGGGCCACGCGGGGTGGGCACAGAAACGGGGGCGGGAGGGGACCAAGCACGGCCAGCAGCACGCTGATTTGACTCCACAGTTTTTCGCCATCCTGGATGCTAACTACCCTGAGACGCTGAAGAACTTAATTGTGATCCGAGGTGAGCCCCCGGCTGGGAGCCCTCCTGGGGAAGGGAGCACTGGGGGACAGACAGCCTCAGCCATCAAGTTCAGGGCGTCTCAGCAGGATCCAAGTTGGCTGAGGCTGGAACCAGCTCCTGCCCAGCCCCTTACAACTGGGCTCAGGGCGAGAGAACCATTTGTTAAGAGTGAGGCCCTGTGTTGCACACACATGCTTCCATCTTGTTTCCCAGCCAACAGCACTAAGACACAGAGAGGGTGAGTCCCGGGCTGAAAGTCACACAGCTGGGAACGGCAGAATCCAGATCTGTCACACACACGCCCTTGGCCTTGGCTTCCACACACCCACATCCCCTCTGGTCCAGCTTCCAAGGGGTCTCCTGTGTTTCAGCCCCCAGGCTGTTCCCAGTGGCCTTCAACTTGGTCAAGTCATTCATGAGTGAGGACACACGCAGGAAGATGGTGATCCTGGGAGGTGAGTGACGTGGCCTCCTGGTGCTGCCCGGCAAGCAGAGGTCAGCGAGGCCCCGTTTCCCCCTGCCTTACGCTCTGTGCTCTGGTCCCGTCAGCTCCAGCACACAAGGGCAAGGCCCCTGGCTCCTGACCACAGCCTGAGACCCACAGAAAGCTCTTTGGGTCTCCTGGGAGTCGCAGTCCAGTCCCCTCCCTGGGATCAGCCACCCCTGCCTTCTGAGCCACCTCGGAGACCCCCCCACTGCCCCCTACACAGACAACTGGATCAGGGATGGGGCAGGGTCTGGAGGAGCAGCGAGAGTGGGCAGAGGAACCGGCCAGCGCAGCAAGGGACCAGACACAGAGCCACTCAGCCTCTGTTCCCCAGACAATGGGGCGCTGCAAGTGTGGCCCGCTCAGCACCAGCTCCAGGACAGCTCCCGGCTCAGCCAGCCCCGCCCTCTGTCGACCCCCACCTCCGAGCCCCCTCGGAGACTCCTCTGTCACCCCCCCCCCCATGCAGACAACTGGAAGCAGGATCTGCAAAAGTTCATCAGCCCCGACCAGTTGCCTGCGGTGTTTGGGGGGACCATGACCGACCCCGACGGCAACCCCAAGTGCCTGACCAAGGTACAGGGACCCAGACACGGGGCAGGGGCAGGCGGGCAAACAGCGTGGTCCATGGCTCACCTGCCCCCACCCACAGATCAACCCTGGGGGCGAGGTGCCCAAGAGCTACTACAAGCGCCAGCAGGTGAGGCTGCAGTACGAGCACACGGTGTCCGTGGGCCGCGGCTCCTCCCAGCAGGTGGAGAACGAGATCCTCTTCCCAGGCTGTGTGCTGAGGTGGGTGCACCTGCCCGGGGTGGGGGAGGGGCAGGGGGTGGGGTGCTGCACCCCAGGCAGGGGGGCGTCAGTGGGGCTCTGTCGCCTGCAGGTGGCAGTTTGCATCGGACGGCGGGGACATCGGCTTCGGGGTCTTCCTCAAGACCAAGATGGGGGAGCGGCAGCGGGCAGGGGAGATGACGGAGGTGCTGCCCAGCCAGCACTACAACGCCCACCTGGTGCCCGAGGACGGGAGCCTCACCTGTGCGGAGGCCGGCGTGTGTAAGAGCAGGAGGGTTCACTTGGCTGCCAGTCTACCTCTCTGTTGTCCATCTATTTCTCAGGGAGGCTGGCGGGGGGAGGGCTGGGTCAGCTCTTAGATCCCCCGGGCTCCAGGGAAGTTGGCTTTGTGGTCTAGGAGGAGAGGAGTAGCCTCTGCATGGGGCACCAGGGCCGGGGTCCAGAGCCCAGAGCCCAGGGCCATGGGCTCAGCTCCTTGGAAGTCCCCTGCACGGGGCTCACTCCTTAGGCTAAGAGCCCGTGAGTTAGCAGCAAGGGCTTAGCACTGGGGCTCCCGCCCAGGAGACCACTCCACTCCTGCCTCCTCCAGGCCTTTGCCTTTCACGTCCAGGCCTGTCTGGATCAGCAGGGTTGCCCAGGACTGGTGCTGACCTTTGACCTCTGTGGGAAACAGCCGGGAGAAGGGGGCGGGTGGGTTGTAGGTGGATCAGGCTGCTGCTTGAGTCCGTGCCTTGCCAGGGCCGGCTTCGCAGAAAGGGAGAATTAAGGGAGTGGAGCCTGAGGGGTCTGGTGGATGCATGGGGTCCCGGCACCCACATCCGGGTCTCCCACATGGGTGGCAGTGGCTCAAGTACTTGGGTCATCTTCAGTTGCCTCCCCAGGTACATTGGGGTGCTGGGCCAGCCCCCACTGGAAGGGGGGCTTGGGCAGGCTGGTGGTTGTCTGGCTTCCTTTATGTAGCTCAAGCACCATCTGAGGAGACGGGGTGTGGGGCGGGGAGAGGGGGGCGGCTATGCAACCGCCGGCACCCGGGCCCTGGTGCCCGGTCCTGGGCAGCGGCGTGCAGGTGTGCCCGGCTCCCTCCGCCTAATGACCCTGCCATCCTTGCAGACGTCCTGCGCTTCGACAACACCTACAGCCTGGTCCACGCCAAGAAGGTGAGCTACACCGTGGAGGTGCTTCTCCCGGACGAGGCCTCCCAGGAGAAGCTGCAGAGTCTCAGAGCCTCCAGTCCCTCGGCGCAGTAGAGAAGCCCCTGGCGGCCCTGCGCCTCTTCCGCTCCGCCTCCCCGACCCCCGCCTTCCCAGTCAAGCCCCCTCCCTTGCCCCCATGCAGGCCCACCTGGCCCAGGGGTCCAACAGTAAGAGAGAACTCACCGGGACCTGGTGGCCCAGCTTGGGGGTTTGTGCGCATGCGCCTGTGAGAGCCCAGGTTCTGCAGGGGGGCACAGAGAGTAGGAGAAGTAGAAGAAGGGCCGGCTGGAGGCAGCTGGGCGGAGCCACGGGGCAGCGGGGACGGCCTGGTTCTCCCAGCGCATCCAGACCCATCTGCGCACCTGCTGCAACCCAGCCCACAATCGGCTCCAAGTTGGGGGTGCGGGGAGGAGGCAGGACCAAAGCAAGTGCAGAGAGGGCCCTGCCGCCACCCCAGGGCGCTCCAGGCTCTGGCTCGCTTCCTGGAGAGCCCACAAGCTTTCCCTGCCTCTCTGAGTCTGACCGCGCGGGAGCAGGGTGAGTGATGTCCCTGCAAAGGGCGTCCTCACTATGAAGCAGTAGCTCCCAAGCCCCTCGCAGTGACCAGGCCTCAGGCAGTCACCGCCTGCCCCTCCACGTTGCCAGCAAGAAGCCGGGCCCCAGCACCTGCTGTCAGATCCTGTGATTTCGTTTTCTCCAGTTAATAGGAGATTTCTCCGTGACCCAGGAGAGAATGCCAAGGCTTGTGACCGGGAGGGTCTCCTGGTGGGTCGGCTACGGTTCTCGGGGGCTCCCGGTCCCTGTAGCTGGAGCAGGTGCACCAGGGGCGCATACCTTGAGTCTGAATGGGGCCTCTGCTGCTGTTAACAAACAAGCCAAATGTCTAAAGCCAGCACCATGAGGCATTCTGGTCTAATGGGGTTGGACAAGACTAGCCAAAAAAAAAAAAAGATGACTCTAAAGAGATGGCCTGGGGTTGCTCCTACCCATGGCCTCCTGGGTCTGTTCTCCCATGCTCCTTGGCAGGCTGTGCCAGGGTGTGGCCCACCAGGGTTGGGGGAACCCTGTGCTGTTGTCACAACAGGGACCAAAGTGTCTCCCTTCAGCCTTCATAACTCTTCCCCACCCCCGCCGCTGTGGAAAAACAAGACACTCCTGCACTTGAACTCTGACCCTGTCCTCCTAACCACCCCCAGCCACTCCTTCAGGTAGCAAAGAGTGCTCTGCCTCAATCACAAATCCACACTGTCGGGTGGGGACAGGTAACAAGGGCCCACCTGCAGGTGTCAGGGGCTTGGAATCCCAGGGCAGTGAGCCCCGTGGTCCCTCAGGGAGGTGGCAGCAGAATCTCCTACCTGGCCAGGTGCGCAGGTGCGCAGGTGCACACTGGGGGCTGAGCTCAGCACTGCCACTTTTTTTCTTTTTTTTACCAAAAATAAAATGAGAGAAGTCACTCAGGGAGGGGCACTTCTTCACCCAAAGCTGGTTTCTCTATCAGTCTGTTCACTTGTGCAGATTCACTGAACACCTGCCCAGCACTGTGGGGGCCCTGGGACCACCCTGGGGAAAATGCCGGGGCCTGGGACCAGGAGGGTCCCCACTGCGCTAACAGGAAGTCTGCTCGGGTCACAGGGGGCGGAAGTGACTCCGGTGACCAGAAGCACGGGGGCTGTCACTGTGTGTGCCTAGTGGGGGCGGGAGCCGGATTCGGGGCGGGGGCAGCTGAGAAGGGCATTAGTGGGGGAGTTCAGAGAGGTTCTGCCTACAGGAGTGAAGCCAGAAAGGAGGCTGAAGCGGATGTGGGGGAGACCAGGTGTGGGGGAGCCGTCCAGGCTGAGGAAGGGGGTGTGGGAGGCCAGGCGAGACGCAGAAGGGCCCTCCTTGGCGACAACTGCCCGGTGTTTGCTGTGACTTCAAGAATAGCTGTGTACACAGAAGAAAGTATTCATAAAACCATTTGATAACACAGCTTACGAAACACAGCCTTGCTGTTTGTTGGGAAGGAATGGCAAGTTCTTGGCCGACGGCCAGAGACGGCAACTCTTGCTCGAGATAAGGTGCTTAGAAACAGTCCAGCCTCGCCTTGCCCAGGAATGGAGGCGGCACCTGCCCGTCTCAGCCCGTCTCCTGGGGAAGTCACTGTCATCCTTGGGGAGAGGTGGGAAGGGAAACGATTTTTTAAAGATTTATTTGTTTATTTGAAAGGCAACGTTAAAGAGAGATATTCTACCTGCTGGTTCACTGCGCAAATGGCTGCAACAGCCAGGTCTGGGCCAGGTCAAACCAGGAGCCAGGAGCTTCATCCAGGTCTCCCATAGGGTTGCCAGGAGCCCAGGCACTTGGGCCATCTTCTGCTGTTTTTCCCAGGCACATTAGCAGGGCACTGGATCAGAAGTGGAGCAGCCGGGACTCGAACCAGCACTCCTCTGAGGGACGCTGGAGTCTCAAGCAGTGGTCTAAACCCGTCCCCCAAATCTCCACCCCAGCTCAGGTCACCTCCCAAGGAGCCCAGGCCAGAGGGGACACTGCTGTGAGGTAGCTCACAGGTGGCCAAAGCAGGCTTTCAACAGAGCACCAGGGCACAGCACTCTACAGTTTGCACTGCCCCTTTACATGCAACCCTGAAGCAGACGGGGATCATAGCCCCATTTGCTCAGCAAGCAGAAGGGCGTGGGCCAAAGGCCCAGAGCTGGAGCCTGCAGCCAACCCAGCTGTGACCCCGCCCTACCTCTTAGGAGGAGATGATTGATGTGTGTGGGCCCCTGCCGGGAAAGGCTGGACAGAGGGGTTTGGGGCTCCTGGAGTGCGACCTGGCAAAAGCTGCTCAGACCTGGGTGCTGACCACGTGCTGGGCCCACTTTACAGATGAGCACACTGAGGCTCGGGCAGGAAGTGACTTGCACTGCCAGGCAGCAGGAAGTGATGGGGGTGGGGGGAGGGGGCACTTAGCCTGGCGGTTGAGATGCCCCTGTGCCATGTCTGATTCCCAGCTCTGGCTCCTGACTCCAGCTTCCTGCTCGTGCAGACCCCGGGAGACAACAGTGGTGGATGGAATAGTTGGATTCCTCCCACCTGCATGAGAGACCTGAACTGAGTTCCCCATCTCTCAACTTCCGCCTGGCCCGGTCCAGGTCTGTGCAGGCGTCTGGGGGAATGACCCAGTGCATGGGCGCTCTTTCTGTATCTGTGTGTATCTCTGCCTCTCTAAGGAATGATACGTACTGTTGTTAAAGAGGCAGGGGTGAGCATGAACCTGGGTCTCTCCCTCTCTCTCTCTCTGCCCAGACAGTGTGGGAGAGCAGTGAGCTCACCTGGGCCGTGGGCACAGGCTTGGTGGCTTCAGGTGCACAGGTGTCCACCTCCCAGCACCAGGGGGTGTACTGGCCCTGCCACGCCTCTGTGCACCAGGAACGAGCAGGTTCCCTGGTCATCGGGCTCGCTGAAGGGAGGCGGAAGCCCAAGAGGTGAAGTTGGCCAGGTCCAGGCTGTGGGTGGGCGCCTGGGGCCTCCTGGGGTGGCGAGGAAAAGGTAAGCTGATCTCCGTGTAGCTGGCCACGGCCACTGTCCCACCAGTGTTCCCTCCACCGCCTCTAGCTTAGATAATTCAAAGGAATTCAAGGGGACTTCTTTGTGTCCATTCCTACCTGCTCCTGTCCAGATGCCACAGAGTAGCAAGGAATCACTCCTGGCTGAAGCCCTCCCCTGGCTCCCCACGGTCCCCTGGGTGAAACCAGTCTCTGCGGTGGCTTGCTGGGTGCCCTGTGACCTGGCCACTGCACCTGCCCCCCAGCTCCACCTGCCGACCAGAAGTGACCGATTCAGCTCCTTGCAGCCTCCCTGCCTGGGTCACACGGCTCCCTGCACCTCGGCTCCCTCCCCAGCCCTGCCCTGTGCACTCTCGAGGCTGGTGGAGCCCTTCCTCAGGCCCCACTCCCACAGCAACTGGACCTGAGCTCATCACACGACCACGTCATCTTCTGCTCCTCTCTGCCTTGCAAATAAAGGTTTAGTTATTTATTTGAAAGAGTTACACAGAGAGAGAAGGAGAGGCAGAGAGAGAGAGAGAGAGAGAGAGAGAGAGAGAGAGAGGTTTTCCATCCACTGGTTCACTCCTCAGTTGGCTGCAACAGCCGGAGCTACACCGATCTGAAGCCAGGAGCCAGGAGCTTTTTCTGGGTCTCCCATGCAGGTGCAGGGGCCCAAGCACTTGGGCCATCTTCTACTGCTTTCCCAGGCCACAGCAGAGAGCTGGATCAGAAGTAGAGCAGCCAGGACTCGAACCGGCGCCCATATGGGTTGCCGGCACTGCAGGTGGCAGCCTTACCTGCTGTGCCACAGCACCAGCCCCTGGCTGGGCTACTTCTTAAGATGTCTGGATATCTCTCTCTCTGTAACTTGGCCTCTCAAATAGATAAATGAAATCTTAAAAAGACAAAGAGAGAAATCTCTCAAAAGAAGACATGGAGAGGGTAAATCTTCATGACCTTGGAGTTGGCAATGCTTTTTTTTTTTTTTTTTTGACAGGCAGAGTGGACAGTGAGAGAGAGAGACAGAGAGAGAAAGGTCTTCCTTTGCCGTTGGTTCACCCTCCAACGGCCGCCGCGGCCGGTGAGCTGCAGCCGGCGCACCACGCTGATCCGATGGCAGGAGCCAGGTACTTCTCCTGGTCTCCCATGGGGTGCAGGGCCCAAGCACTTGGGCCATCCTCCACTGCACTCCCTGGCCACAGCAGAGAGCTGGACTGGAAGAGGGGCAACCGGGACAGAATCTGGTGCCCCAACCGGGACTAGAACCTGGTGTGCCAGTGCCGCAAGGCGGAGGATTAGCCTAGTGAGCCGCGGCGCCAGCCTGCAATGCTTTCTTTGATATGAAACTAAAAGTACAAACAACAAAAGAAAAAGTAGATAAATCGGATTTCACCAAAATTTAAAACATCTGTGCATCAAGGACACTAAAGAAAGTAAAATATAAGACACATCATGGGAGGGAAACTTGCAAATCCTATGACTGAGAGGGATTAATAGAATAGATAATGAACTGTTACAAGTCCATATAAAAAGACAAATAACTCAATTTTTTGAAAATATGTATTTATTTATTTGAAAGAGTTACAGGAAAGAAGGAGAAAGAGAGAAAAAGAGAGAGAGGGAAATCTTCCATCTGCTGGTTCACTCCCCAGATGGGTTTAGTGGTTGGGGCTACCCCAGATTGAAGCCAGGAGCCAGGAGCTTCCTCCCACATGGGTGTGGGGGCCCAAGTTCTTGGGTCATCTTCTACTGCTTTCTCAGGCTCATCAGCAGGGACCTGAATCAGAAGCGAAGCAGCCAGGACACAAACTGATTCCTATATGGGATACCGGCTTCGCAAATGGTGGCTTAACCCACTACCTACACCACACTGGTCCCAAACAACCCAATTTAAAAATGGGTCCAGGGGGACCTGTGCTGTTGCTCACTAGGCTAATCCTCCACCTGCGGCGCCGGCACACCGGGTTCTAGTCCCGGTCGGGGCGCCGGATTCTGTC